CATCATATAGCTGCATGAGGGCCGAGCGTGATGTGAACTAACAAATGAAAGCAAACTGACTACAATAGCCTACAGCTACAGACAGAGCACATGACACAATCAATCCTTGATCTCAGTCACAAAGAAACAATTGCTGGTATTTAGGAGATTTAACTTTACATGACACGGCAAACCCGGTAGTTGGTCTTTATTAATTTCATTACGGTGTGGCATTGATTGTGTGCATTTAGATATTGATGAGGAAATAGACAAGATTGGATTGGCTTTTGAGTTGAAACAGCTTCTGCGATCTTGAAGAATAGGTCAGAATAGTGAAAGTGAAAGATGATTCTGTACATCTGTTAGCCTGCCTTAACAGATCAAAACTACACACACCATGGTCAAAAAAGGAAATCCTGATCAGAATCGACCAGGAACTCATGTGAAATGATGGATGCACTTCTGGCGAAGATCATAAGAAGTAGAACAGAAATAGATACATAATCTTAATCGCTGGGTAAAATGGATAGGAATCTGTTTTGACTCGGCAGCCATCATTCCAGATAGGGAGAGATCAATGGATGATCTCGTCAGCAGAAGAGAAAGTGTGTTTTTATACCAGGGCAATATCTGGTGGAGGATATGAAGGTGTTTTATGTTAGGGTTCCGTGAGTCAGGTTTCCCACAGAATTGACTCTAACCACAGAATTGTCGGTTGTTAATCTTTTTCGATCTTAGTATTCCTGCTAACATGCTAGAGGTTTCAATGAACTCAATGGATGGTCTAATCAGGTGATGTGTCTTCTGCTCCAACTTGTGTCATGGAAGATGAAAGAAGTGGGCTTTGTTTGTCCATAGTCCCTATGATAGAGAAGATGAAGCTTCTTGTAAGTCAAGGTTAAAAAAGTCATTATAGAAAAATGTTAACATGTCAAGTAGTGCTGAAAAATTATTGCTAAGACTTTTTACGAAGTTTATGAGATTAATGAAGACATGCAATATGACGTGTAATTTAGTTCTTGTCAAATAGTGGAAATGTAAGATTTACACTTCATGTAAAGAGATATAGGAGCCATCATAGCTATTGTACACCTGACTGGGGTTTGGGGTGGCCTTGTGGATGAAGTGTTTCCATCATGGCAAGGGTACAGGTTTGATTCCCCACATGGGTACAATGTTTGAAGCCATTTCTATCGCTGGGTAAAATGGATAGGAATCTGTTTTGACTCGGCAGCCATCATTCCAGATAGGGAGAGATCAATGGATGATCTCGTCAGCAGAAGAGAAAGTGTGTTTTTATACCAGGGCAATATCTGGTGGAGGATATGAAGGTGTTTTATGTTAGGGTTCCGTGAGTCAGGTTTCCCACAGAATTGACTCTAACCACAGAATTGTCGGTTGTTAATCTTTTTCGATCTTAGTATTCCTGCTAACATGCTAGAGGTTTCAATGAACTCAATGGATGGTCTAATCAGGTGATGTGTCTTCTGCTCCAACTTGTGTCATGGAAGATGAAAGAAGTGGGCTTTGTTTGTCCATAGTCCCTATGATAAAGAAGATGAAGCTTCTTGTAAGTCAAGGTTAAAAAAGTCATTATAGAAAAATGTTAACATGTCAAGTAGTGCTGAAAAATTATTGCTAAGACTTTTTACGAAGTTTATGAGATTAATGAAGACATGCAATATGACGTGTAATTTAGTTCTTGTCAAATAGTGGAAATGTAAGATTTACACTTCATGTAAAGAGATATAGGAGCCATCATAGCTATTGTACACCTGACTGGGGTTTGGGGTGGCCTTGTGGATGAAGTGTTTCCATCATGGCAAGGGTACAGGTTTGATTCCCCACATGGGTAAAATGTTTGAAGCCATTTCTAGTGTCCGCATTAGTGAGTGAATATGTAAAAAGCAGTGTAAAACAATGCTCACTGACTGGGCCACACAGTGCAAGAGAGTTATAATTCCCTGTCATGTCATCTGTAGTTCAATGACTTAGTGGGGCGGTGGGGTAGCCTAGTGGTTGAAGCGTTGGCTCGTCAGGCCGAGGACCCAGGTTCGAATCCCCACATGGGTACAATGTGTGAAGCCCATTTCTGGTGTCCCCCGCCGTGATGTTGCTGGAATATTGCTAAAAGCAGCGTAAAACCAAAACTCGGTCAGTCAGTAGATGGGGGCTGCATTTATAGTCTGTTTGGGTCAAAATGATACCGATGAATCACAATCTAACACCAAATCGGTTCATGATCAAACATTCATTTCAACGCAGAATGTAATGAAAACATCAGACCAACTCTGGAAAAAAAGTTTCATAACGTTTGTCTCAAAAATTAAACAAATTACTTAACTGCATAAAGAAGGTGTGAATGTGGTTGTGACTGTTGGTGTAGATCTATAGTGATGTAAGAACAATGGTATACATCACCTCATGGCTGCAGATAGTACATGATGAACCAGAGGATGACCCCTGAACAGTGAGAGACAGAATAGTCAGTCAAATACATCAGCATGTTTTGAATCTTTCCCATTCGACATGACTCAGGGGCGGTGGGGTAGCCTAGTGGTTAAAGCGTTGGCTTGTCACGCCATAGACCCGGGTTCAATCCCCACATGGGTACAATGTGTGAAGCCCATTTCTGGTGTCCCCGGCCGTGATGTTGCTGGAATATTGCTAAAAGCGGGGTAAAACCAAACTCAGTCAGTCAGTCGACATGCCTCAACAGGGTTTCAGTCACTAGATAGCTGGACCAGAGTTTGAACCACCCCAGTATCACAATGAGTTAACAAGTGGCGTTGTGTCAGTCTTTCAGACTCTTGTCCTAACATCAATCTCTGACACTTCGGGTCCAATTAAGTACATAGAATTTGAATTTGATCTAACGGAGAAAAGTCAGTACCTTGTGTGTCTGTTGATTAATAGTAAATATCTCCGTGCTATCTATGTTGGTTGTACTTAGTACATAATAGCTTCGCCAGTCTAGCACTTCAAATACTTCATGATCGGCTACGTTAGATTATTTTCATTTTATATGTCTGATCGCAAGTGCTGTTTAGCAATTGGAAGTCCGACAAGGTTGTAATTATCTGTTTTTCATCTCTGGAAAAAGAAATATGATTTGTGTGTGGTATATATTAGATTGGATAGGTATATCAAGCTTCATTAGCTGTAACGACGTGATATAATTAGTTGCCATTGATCTGATGTATTTCAGTTGCTGGGCTGGATAGGATGTCGTTGTAGACTGCTGGTTTTGGAGTCTTTATGATAAATGTCAACACAGTGATTTGGGACTGTCTGAGTTCATGTTCTGTGTGTGTGAATGATCAATCGTACTGAGAAATATACCTTGACTGTGTCATGATGTTGTAGCATACATTTATATGTTGTGGACAAATGTGTGGAATCCTAGTTGACAATTTTGGACAAAAGTCCTTCAGGAAAGACAGGCGTCACGAAAGTGTTATTCAGAAGCCAAGGTTCAGTACAGTAGGGTGCAGTGTGTGAAACCCATTTCATGTGGGGGTGGCGGGTTAAAGCATGTCATGCAGTAGACCCAGGTGCGATTCCCAGCATGGGTACAATGTGTGCAGCCCATTTCTGGCATCCTTCGCCATAAAATCACTGGAATATAGCTCAAACCTAATCCACTCACTCACACATTTCATGTAGCCCCTGCTACAATTAAATTTATTAATATTGCGAAATGAAGATAAAACAACTTGCTCATTCTTAATGGATTTTTCTTAAATGGATTTGATGTGTATTAACATATACATATTACAAATAACTCACATTCATTTTGGACTGGACTATAAATAGCCTGTCCCTGACATGTTCTTTCAAGGGCATAAGCACACACCGTTCAATTATCCACAAAGTCTGAATGTAAACATTATTTATTTCAGCAGTCAATCACTGAATATTTACATGACATGGGAGTTTGATTGGTCAATTGACTTGGTGCTTTCTGAAAGCATTTTGTTTGAGCATGGAGTAAAGAGTATGGTAGAAATTAAGTTATATTGGGAGTTTTGTTTGTCGTTTTGATGTGTTTCTGACAGATATGTTTATAAGGCACACTTTGTCTGCATTTAGGAAGATATAGATAGCACAGTTTTGACATGTTTATCGTGAGCAAATTAGTTGTCGTCAATTAACGAAGATCAGTCAATTTGTTCCGGAGAATGTGTATGACTTTCCTCAGACTTCAAATGGATTGGGAATTAGGAGGAAACTGAACTAGCCGCTTATGCAGGCTTGTTTCAACTGATCTTCTGGTTGTAGTTTAAAAAAAATTATTTTGATAAATGCAGTTGTAATGAAGTGAAAGGGGGTTTAAAGTTCCATTCAAGATAACTGCACTTACATTACAGCGTGCATGCATCTCTTTACTTTAGCTTGCAGTCCTCATGTCACTGAAGGCTTGTGGGGACAATCAATGCCGGTGGTTTCAGTGCCAGGCCTAACAGAGGCTGGGTACCTAATGGTTAAACGTTCAGCCATCACGCTTTAAGCCCAGGTTTAAGTTTGTGAAGTCCATTTCTGGAGTCCCTTGCATGGTATTGTTGAGATATTGTGAAAAAAATGTGAAACCTCATTCACTCAGCCTACTGTTTGTTCCTGACTTACTATACTGGACAAAATAAGTTAGGGATATTGGTATTTTTATGATTGATATTTTATCAGTGTGTCAATACGACTGTCAGAACTAAAAACTCATCTTTTTCTAGCTACCTACTAGTTTCTCCATTTTCTCTGCACAGCGCCACTGAGCAGCACTGGCTGGACATTAGGCGCTTAAACAAATGCATTATTATTATTATTATATGCAAACAAAGATTTTAGGACAAAACTATAGTATGCTGCCATGTACACCTCATGGGTCTCGGTGTATGTTATACCACTCAAGAAAACACGTGCAACCTGACATGAAATGTGTGAAGTGTTTGCCAAGATGCATGTATCTTACATTAGTTTGAACAAAGCGTACTCGTTGTTGAATGTGATGTAAATGATTGTTTCAGGGTCTCTCCTCAGTCACTTTGTGGAGCCTATCTACATCGACAGCATCGTCCTGGGCAGCCTGTACCATGGTGACCATCTCTCCCGCGCTGTCTACGCACGCATCAACAACATCGAGAACATTTACATGCCTTTCATGCTCAATAGGCCTTTCCTCAGTGGCATATCCAACCCGGAATCCCGGCAGCCAGGGAAGGCGCCCAACTTCAGTGTCAACTGGTGCCATGGCGATGATGGCTTCGAGGTGATCAACGCAACCACAGGGAAGACAGAACAAGGCCCAATGTCTCGTGTGTGCAAGCAGTCGTTGTTTCAGCATTTTGACAAACTCTTCGGCCAGGTTTCCTCGGTGACAAGTCAAACCATCACAACACGTCCAAAGTTGTATTCCGAGGCCAAGGCAGGTGTTATGGACTATCAACTGGCTAAGCAGCAGCTATTCAAAGCATTCCAGAAGAGTGGGCTCGGGAGCTGGGTGACAAAACCCATTGAGCTTGACCAGTTTGAGCTTATTTCAAGTTGAGTTGTCTCCCTTCATTAACATGATTATCTCCCTTCCTGGTGAGATACATACCACTGTTTAAGCTCAAACATGCTGATTGTACTGAAAGAAATGATTAGTTTTGAACTAAATTTAGAGTTATATTTGAGACTTGAGATGTGTTCATGTAATTGTGAGAGTAAAACTTAGTTTTCTTTCTTCTCTTTCTAACTACATTGTCTGTAGAAATATCAGATGCTTCTTTGTAAAAGATATGAACTGGAGATCCACATTGGAAATGTGGCAGAGAAACTATACCAGTGTATATGTGGATAGTATCATGAAGGTTGAAAAGGGGTCTGTAGAAAGTAAAGACAAGATATGTACACTCAGGTTGTCACTTTTAAACCTATTCAGGTTTTCCTTGGTATTTTTTTAGATAATTGTTTTTTGCAGACATTATGCTTGCGTCAACTTCACACTGAACTTAAATTGGGATTTCCTGTTTTCATTTCTTTTAATTTTGAACTTTTCAACTTGTGATTTTATGCCACTGTCCATGCAGTGAACGTTTTGTTTCAACACTGACTTGTTTCTTTTATTCAACTGTGTTCTCAAACTTTTTATCTTTTGTTTCATCTGTTAATTTGTTACTAATGATGTATGAATTCAAGAATCATGATGAGAAAGGAAGGAATTGTACAAATACATGTCAACATGACCATTCTGAACTCACAATATACTCTTTCACTATTTGTGTGCTGATGTTTCAAAACTTTTTAGAAACAGGACATATCAAAGATTGGTGAATCACTCCTAACCCAAATATTTTGTAAATGAGAAGAGAAAAACAATCAAATGCTGTGCTGTCTCAATATCTTGGGCTTATTTCTCGATAAGTAACATTATAGGGCGGTGGGGTAGCCTAGTGGTTAAAGCGTTGGCTCGTCACGCCAAAGAACCGGGTTCGAATCCCCACATGGGTACAATGTGTGAAGCCCATTTCTGGTGTCCCTCGACGTGATGTTGCTGGAATATTGCTAAAAGCGGCGTAACACCAACCTCAGTCAGTCAGTCAGTCAGTAACATTCTAGGTCTGGTTATTGCCATGGGTTTAGATAGTAATATGGCTATGGGTGAAAGTATAGGTACAGGATATTGCTACAGATGGGAAGTTGGTGTTACCAGGGTTTTATCCTGAAGGGAAACACTTAGCATTTCATCTGTAATTAGTTTTCCTCATGATAAGTACAAATTAATACATGACTTGTTTTATGGACAACTTCTATTTTTTCTTTATGTGACATTTCAGAGCTAATTCTTGCTGCTTCACCTGATGTATTCATGTCCAGTTCTAAATGCCTTTCAAGATCAGTACAGATGTTTCCTTGTTTGTAAGTCCAGGTCTTGCAAGTAGTGTATGGCTCCCTACAGCCCTAGTTCACTGTCACCTCGAAACACTGCATCTATGATGCACTCTCCGACATCCTGAATCTTTGATATGTCCCATGTGTCACGGATGTCAACATTTTTCTCAAGTTCAGAAACAAATTAGTTGTAGAAAACTTATCTGGAAATTGTCACTTGTCATGGATTATGGAAATTGTCAAATTTTATAAAAAAATCAAACTCACTTTTTGTCTTCTCTGCTGGTACAGGTCATGAATGCATACATTTTACTTGCAAATCCTGACACTTTTCAGTGGAATGGCAGAAGCCTGGCAGTGTGGGTCTATTGGTTAGAGACTTGGCTGAACAGTCAGCATTACCATGTAATTGCTCACACAGTTTACATTTGTTTGTTTTTTTACAAGTTAGTGTGTTTACTTTGTGTAGTTTCTAGTACTGGGCAGAGATCTGACAAGACAAGGTGGCTTCTTGTAGTAGTACTGAAGTCAAGTCGTCCCTGGTCTGGACTAATGCAGGAACTTTGTGTTTATAAGTAACAGACCATATCATCACTGTTCCACAATACGAACATCCTCTTGCAGAGTTGCCTCCCTCATCCCTACCTGGATTCACTTAGGTTAACCAGAGTGGTAAGTGTCTGGGTGGGGCTTCCATCTTGGAGTGAGGTACTGGTAATAACCTTAACGATGATGCTAGACTATTTATAGCTCACTGAAGTACAGTTTCAGATGGAGTTGCACCTAGTCAGGCGCCATGGAATATCGGTATTTGATGAAACCAAAATTTTCCCTTTTGAACTTCAGAGAGCTCAGTTCCTTTTCAGGGGAAAAATAATAAATTGACAAAATTTTATAGTGTAATAAAAGAATTAAACTTACCAGTTTAACACATTAACTTTGCTTGATGTCAGTAACAAGGAAGAGGAGGCCTTAAAGGCTGAACTCTTTCTAACATCACTTGTTCTTTTCTGATGCATGGCCGGATTTCCACATAGAGTTAATGCATCAAAAGAAGATATTTTGTATACAAACAACTGTAGAGTTAAGTCACTTTAGTTACTGACATTTTTAAACAGAAGCTGTTCAATTAGCAAATCAACATTTTTATATACTTGTTTTTGATGTCATGTTGAATTTTAACTCACTCACTCTTATGTACCTGTGAATATTTCACTTTATACTTCACTGGGAGCTGCGAGCGAGGTTTGCTTGTCAGATGTTGCTAGGATATATATTTCACTAGGATATATATTTCACACGTGTAAATTGTCCATCAGAACTGTGTACAGGTTATCATCATCCAGCTGTCTGACGCCAGAAGATAGCCAAGTTGTTTGCGCCTTTGCCCATGTTCATTTACGTCTTCAGTTCAAGGCAGTTTGTTTCACTTACATAAGTTTTTATTGAATTCTTAATCATGTGTGTACTTAATGCGGAAAAACAATAACATTTGAAAAATATATTCTGTAATCATGAAGACATTTTTGTGTGTGTTCTCAGAGACTGGTCATTTATTACGGGATGAAGAAGGGGACATCTTTGATCTACTAATGTTTTGAAAGTAATGCTTTCACAACCCTCCCTGAAAAGACAAAATTATTCAATACCTCTTCATATTTTATTAAAAATGTCCATTTTTTATGACCCTTACCTTGAGATTGTCATAGCTCTTGATGATTGCCCCCACCCAGGATAGATGACCAGTCCCTATATTCAGGTACGATGTCCGTTTTTTTTAACATCAACTCATAACATACCTTCTCCTGTGGTGACCTCACTGATATCATGTGACTAGATCATAACATACCCTCAAATATTCCTGTTGATCACCAACATTTGTTAACTTGAAGCTTCATATGAATAAACTCCTTGCAGTTCTACATTGTTTTCTTTTTAATGGCTGAACTTGGACATCAGGTTGAACTAGGTCACATAAGTAGTTTGTCTGAAGACGTTTCAAGTAATACATTCTTTGTCCTATTTTAATGCAATATTTGAACTTGTAACTAATGGGCCTGACAATCAAGGTGATCAACAAACATGCCTCTGTGGTGTGGTTGTTCGTTGTTTAATACAACACTGAACAGAATCACAGTAATCTGCTCTCATAAAGTGGCAACCAGTATTCTTACATGGCCTTCCCTTCAACTAAGTGACAAGTATCACTTGTCTCACATATTAGGGCTGTAACCGACACATTGCTGTCGCTTTGTCAATTGTCGTATTTCACTGAACAGGAAACATTCACGGAGATATTGCACAAGCTGAACAGTTTCTTGTCTGTGCTTCAATAATCAGAATATCACAGAACACTTGTTGACCAGAGAAGTGGTATCAACAACAGACATACAATGAACAGAATTTGCCGTATCACTGAGAACTCTCCAGCCACCAGTTTTGTGGACAAGCATTGAAACAGAACTTGTTCTACATGTGGCAACCTTAGCGCTAAGACCAAAAACTCCAATGTCCTTTATTTTGGGGGTGGTAGGGCAGCCTAGTGGTTAAAGCATTCGCTCGTCATGCCGAAGCCTGAAGCCTGGAAGCCTAGAACTTGCAAATCTGCATGCGTTCAAGCCAGTGATATGCGTGTGTTCACTCTGGACAGTGTGATCTGTATGTGTTCACTCCAGTGATCAAGGGGTGATCTGGATGTTAGGGTATTGGGTATTTCATCAGTATTTCAGATCAATCAGGAAGACAACTCAAAGATAATATAATAATCAGCAATTCCAACACAGATAATTGGATCCTTGAACCCAGAACTCTATACAGCAAATTACAACACAATGGAAGAAACGCGACAAGGTTAACTTTACATGCTGTTATTCTACACAATATACACAGTACCTGCATATAGCATCATAAACAAGAGTGTTGGTACAAAATATCAATCACATGCTGAGAACAGAGGAAGTGCAACATTCTTCGGCCTTTTCTCAGTCAGCAAACGGCCAACAAATAACATTTGACAATCATAATAACTTAGCACATGTTCAAACATTCAAATAACTCAAATTGACTTATTATATTTTCACAGTCTCTAAACAAAGTCCTTCTCTTATAAGGGACTCATCTACCCATATCGGGGTGTCAAACTGAGTGACCTCTTCACACTTGCTGCAAGGAAAGTCTTCAAAACAAACATGAAGCATCCTTAAAGCCAAGCAAATTTGCCAAGATAAAAGCATCATTAATAAAATGCTGACATCACTGAAGGTGACAGATTTATAGTGGAAAACTGTGGATGAAGTTTAATGATGAATGCCTTTAGTGCTAGCTCAATCTGTTCGCTGCTCACCAGTGCTGGGAGACAGTATCCTAGTTAGACAGAGACTGGATACAGGCACCAGACCAAAAACACCAGTTCAACCTTAAAAGGGGCCTTGTTCCCTGATCTGGCACCTACTTCCATTCTTGATTACACCGTGTCAGTTAATGTTCTGACATATTGTCTCGTGTAATGTGGATGATTATTATCTGCTGGATGAAAACAGAACACTATTGTGCTCTCAGCGGACACAGATGTGACTGACCTGAATCAAGCTTTGAAGGACGGAGTCCATTCAACGTTCATCACTACCCCTTCTTTATTATGTTAAGTATATACAGTAAAGAGCAGAAAAAATGTGACTGATAAATATCCAAGGTACCACCACTGGCACTTGGCAGGTTGGTACCAAAACTCATGAGTTAGAGTGGGTGCTGCTTTTAGCAATATTCCAGCAATATCACAGCTGAGGACACCATAAATGGACTTCACACTTTGTACCCATGTGGGGAATGGAAGCCAGGTGTTTGGTGTGACGAAGGAATGCTTTAAGCAAATGGGTACACCTCCATCCCCCGGAACACTCTATGTTCCTCCAGGTGGGCACAGGACAAGTTTAATATTTAAACCTAATTTAAAGTTTTTACTGTCAATTGCTGCAGAATATCGGCCCTGCAGCAGGTCTAGAGGAATCCCCGATGTCATACAAAGCAGGGGGAAGTCAGAAGGGAAGTCAGGCAACCATTATCTTGGTGCAGGTACCAACCATCAGATATTCAATTCCAGTTGTTCCACATGGGTATATCACTTTGAAAACAGAATTAATTGTATTTCATCATAAAAATCAAATAAAGATACATGTATGACCAAAACAATTTTAAGAAATATAAAGTAAGGCATCATTGACTTTTTCCAGATGAATATTCAACTTTTAATCAATGATTGATCATTAAAGATCTTAATTTTTGGCAGAGCATGTCAATATGGTCATGATTTCTATTGTCATCCATTGATCCAATAATCAAACAATATACTATTGTATTTCCAAGGAAACAGATTTATTTATCTCCAACAAGACAAACTGTACATGATTCCATCGTCTACCAGTGAATATTGCTATCAAATCGCTCAACAATTCTGAGATCAGAAAATGGATATTTCAGGACAAATCACAACTCTCTGTATTCTACAACTGTTTCTGTGCCAACACCAGCACACCTGTACAGTTACATTAGTAGGACAAGGATGTCAGTCAACAACAGAACACGGACAAACTAGGAACGCATGTAGTCAATAGGAAACATTGCATAAGCAAAGAAACGTATATGACACAATAATTCAGGATGACACAATAAATCTTGGATGTAACAAAGACCAAGGACCTGAAATGTTTTATTAAAAACTGAGTATCAGCATTATTGGAGCAATAATCATTCCTGATTTCAAAATGTGATGTAAGTTATTTCCCCTTGTTATGCCAAGTTATCTTCCCTTGGCTTGTAAATACTGTCATCAACACAATGTTAAAACCCACCATACTATGTAATACAATAAAGCTTTGGATATACAAGTGAAGTGCATTTTTTACAATGTTATTAATTATGAAATTCACATCCCAATTTATACCAACCAATTCTGCAACTGTTAGTCAAAGTTTTCACCCATATATTTTCACAAAAACAGCTGTTTCATTCAAATATATTAGAAAAACTGAATTCATTTGCACTCAAAAGCTGACTGAGAATGTGATGGGGCTACACTACAAACATCAGTTGAAGCAGTGTAAGGGAGATAACTCACTGATACTCCTTGGTTGTGCTGTAAATCACAACACCCTGCATATATACAGTGAAACCTGACTATTCCGGATAGTTGTGTCCACAGATTATACAGACTTCTGGATTAATGATCTGCAGTCTGGATGGCAAATAAACGTAGGTGAACCCACATCACAGGTAGTGCCAGGAACTAGATCCTGAACAGTACAGCCACTGGGAGACTGATCTGTACTCTGGATGGCAAATAAACGTAGGTGACCCCACATCCCAGGTAGTGCCAGGAACTAGATCCTGAACAGTACAGCCACTGTGAGATTGATCTGTACTCTGGATGGCAAATAAACGTAGGTGAAATCTTAATAATCACATCTCCGAGAGCTGACTACAACTGTTTCGAGGTAAATGTGTCTGTATGACTAGTGCCTGAACACATACTACACTGCTTAGATAATCATTTAAAAAGTAACCTCCATGTTTGGGGTGGGAAGTACAATTGGGGCTGTTGTGAGACACACAATATTTTTGGCTTTCAGCTTGAAGATATCTTCTCATCATTTCTCATACAGTAGCTACTCCCTGTAACCCATCTAATGTTGTAGCCATACACCCTGGAGCAAATATATGTGTATAACGAGCAATTCCCAGGTTCCTCTCAGAATACCTTATGATCAATCCCTGTCATTGCTTTGCACTAAGGATATATATGTATATCGGAATATTGATGTATAAATATATGTTAATGACAATACTGTATTGATTCAAAATTAGATTTTCTTAAGAGATATTTATTACAATTTATAACAATCTATATTTGAGGAAAGACTATGTTAAGATCCATGGATATTAAAGGAATCCTTATGAATTCATTAATCACTACAGACCAATAGTTTGTAACTATAGTCCGTTTGGCTCAAAATCGGACCGATGAATTGCAGTCTAACTCGAAAACTACTAAACATAAAATACTCAATGAAACACTGATCATAATCAAATTATCAGACCAACTCTGTGATTTTTTGCAGAATTTATGTCCCTAAAAACAAAAAAGTTGTTAAACAAACTATCATTAAAATTTTGACAAAGTTCACTATTTGTTACGAGGGAGGACTGCAAAGAGAGGAACAGCCAGGTGTATTCGGAGCCAAGTTATTGAATCATTTTACCTGTGCTGTGCTGTCTCCATCCTTTCTCGCACACCTGACTGTTCCTCTCTTTGCACCCCTCCCTCGTAACGGACTACAACATGGTGCCTGTTTCACAGAGAGATTGAAGCACTACAAGTGAAACTCCTAAACATTAGTCCTTATGCTGCAATCACTTTCTGACACAGGGCCCAAATGGTCAAACTATGGAATATATTGGTAGAGACTGAAAAAAATATGAGTATTTTCAAGATAAATATTTACAAAGATTCTTGTTCCTAAACCCTGAGTATTTCATGTCAGAAATATATAGATGTACATTTGTAAGTTATGATATCGAGTGACCGATGTTTGGAACTGAGGAAAAGAGTATTGACAGCAAGATTTTATTCTGAAGTATAGAAACAGACCACTGACAATCGTCTTACCAGTAATTACAGTGGTTGATTCAACTGCTGGTACCCTGGATCGTGGCTAGCAGAAACAGCAGAGGGTTTCTGTGGCTTCTAAGTACATATGCTCACACATACGTAAACAAGAATAAATAATCTTAAGGGGCACTCTTAAAAGTCTTAAATTCTCGGCTTTCAGGTGAAACAATGGTATTGGAATGATTTCAGATCAATCTGCTCGGCGTTCTGGTTGACTTGAGTTTTCATGCAACAAGTGTAGGATATGGTCTCTTGCCTTCCAGTATCACTCTATATGTGGAATATCTACACGTGACTTTACACAGTTCAGTTTATTGAGTCCTACTTTCCAATCAGGCCATGAGACAGCGTGGATGTGATGCTGCAGCTTTACCGCTGCAAAGAATGGGTTTGTCAAGCTGTACCTATTTCTAAACCTGTCAAAATCCGGGTTAGAATTTGTCTTCAGTAACTCACACTTGTCGATGAGGCAACTAACAGGATTAGGTGGTCATCTCACTGACTTGGTTGACATATGTCATTGTATCCCAGTTGCATAGAACGAAGCTCATGATGATGATCACTGGATTATCTGGTCCAAACTCGATTATTTACAGACTGTCGCCACTTAGCTGGAATATTGCTGAGTGCGGCATTAAACAACAAACCAGCCAACCAGCCCGCCAACCAACCTATTTCAAAATCAAACTGTGACCTTCGGCAGGAAAAGCTCACAAAGGCCATATTTTATCTGTTCAAGCCTCTCTTGCCATGTCAGGGTACTGAGTTCTTTAAGACCTGTGTTTGTTTTAAGACTTAAGTAGTCTTGCTACCAGTAGTTCATCAGTTTTCATGAATCCACCCCTGTAACAACTATAAACTGTGATTGTCAGGACATTACTTAAAAGAACAAGCAATAAGTCAGTATTTCACTGACAAAACAACCCTGTAGTATTTCCACAATAAATAGTCTAAGACTTAGAAACTAACTCAACTGTAAATTCAAGCTAAAAATAAACAATAAATATTAGCACTTATTAATTTACAAAATGAAAGATAAAATGGCTGAACTATCAACTGAGTGTAACATGCAGAACTGACATATAAACACAGACGTAAGTGGTGAAACAACAAACGCCATAAGATTGTAAACAAACTACAAAACTTACAAAACACAAACACCAACATCATAGAATGTTTGTAACAATGTGTGCAGACTGTTTGACTGGGCCGAGTGATGAGGGAAGAGAAGCATTTTCTCAACCATCATATACATGAAACTCAATCTTACTCAACCCACCACTGTTATTCCCAATACCAATCAACCACTAAACGACCCAACCATCTTAAATACATAGCATGTTCCAGTATTAACCTAGCTACACTATTAATGATTTCAAAACAAAAACCTGAATTTGGGTCGAGATATTGGAAAAATTCAGATCCAACCCCAAACCTTGTTAAATTTAGATCTTTCACTCTGATTCAATACACCTCTACCTGAAGGTCAAACAAGCCCACATCAGATACATTAGATGAATGTATTAATTATCTAATCAGCTACAGGCTTTAATTTCTCAGTCAGCCAATTATTCAACTCAGCAAATCTGAATTCTGTATCTTGACAACAAAAAGAGGCAGTTCTGCATTACATTGTGCTAAGTAGACACAATTCATGCATAACAGTTTCTGTAATATACTGTTGTAACAATGTACAGCAAAGTAGCTACACAACTATATTAAAGTAAAGGTCATCCATGCACCATGTAATCTGTCAACAAAGTCTACAGAATGCCTCTCATGTTGTCCTCACATGCCACATGTTTCATGTGGGTCCCTTGGCATAAAGAGAATATCTGTGATTTGTGCTGGTTTTCTTTTGTCCTGACAAAAAATTATAAATCAAGAATTGAGGCGGCAAAAAATGAGATTTCAGAAAGCTGACATTTGATTGGCTGATGGGGTTTACCTGATGTGGTCTCCTATCCAGCCTATTGAGGGTTTTTCAGATCAAAGGTAACGACATGGGAGTGAAATATCTGACTATAATTAAATTACACCAACCCTAAATCATGGGGATAAAACAACATATTCACATTTGACTCAAAATATGGTGTAAACAGCGCCATTTAGCAAAATAACATTATCTCTCCATTGTAGTCTCTGGTTTTCCTAAGGTTGGTTTCATAATTCAACTTAACATGCATAGAACAATATGCATAGAGCCAATTAAATAATTATGTATCCCATTTTCAACATATTGTATACAACTCTAATTTAAAATTGATCTCATTATCATTTTCAATACTTAGTTTAGTTTCTATGTCATATCATTCTTTTCAGAATCACATTCTAAAGGAATTAAATGGGCAACATTCAAACAGTGCCAATGCAAGGAAGAATATTTACAATAGATCTGCTTGGCAGCCATCACTGTTCTCATGTTAGGACATTCACTAGCAAAGTAGGATGCTCTTGGCCTCCTTATATTCCCATTTCTGTTCAGTATCTACCATGATAACTGCACATGGGATGCAGGTGACACTGTACACAAAGCAAACAGGCCTTGACACAGGGGAGACTACTCCTTGGTCTGACAGTTGATGTGCCACCCAAGCACCTGTCTGTCAAAGCCACAGGAAAACAGATTGCACGTCTGGTTGTCGTCTGCAAAGGTCACGGAGCATACCATGCGTGAGTGACCTTGTCTGTTGCTGCGAGGGAGGCGTCCGACACGCACGCCGCTGATGTCAAACAGTCGAATGTGTCTGTTATCATGAGGGATTGCGATGATGTTCTGGGCTTGGGATACAGCCAGCCTGAAACACACATACACTCCATCTCATATCCTGCATAATAATAACCTACTGGTAAATAGTTCAAATTGGTCATCAGACACAAGCGTTTGAAAGTAGGTTAAAACATTTTAATGTCAATGACTCTGATACAAGTGAGTGACCAATACTACTTTTAAATTTCCTATTAGTGGCAGATTGATCAATTTCCTCATTCCATCAGTCTGTCGCATACCTGTTAATGTCAGTCAGTTTGTCATATACTTGTTAAAGACCACATATACTCTAGGGGAGTACAAATACATAAATAATTTATTGGCATCGTTATAAATGAAACCCTGTCATTAAAACTACTCATTTCGACATTTAGTTAACTTAAATCAACCTTTTTGACAACAGTGCACAATTCTCTCCCGCGAATGAAATTTCCACCAATCAGAGGGGCTCTTCTCCGTGACGCAATGTGGGAATTCATGTAATTTCCGGGCGTAAGTTATCTTGTTTACAGGTTTGTCTAAACCTGAAATCGTGACAGTTGTTGTGAAAAATGAAAGCTTTATGTTTTCACAATCTACTGTCATTTAATCTTGTCACCTGCTTTGCCTAGTTTACAACTTGTTTTCATAGACGATTCTAAGCTAGAGGCTGATAGCATGAGCAACACTGTATGTGGACCTTTGGCTCGGTGGATAAAGGACACCTCAGTCAGATCACACAAGACTCGAGGTAAAAACAAAATGTTGTTACATGCCTTTGGCTAGAAGTGAACAAGGCTAAACACCACTGCAAACAATATTTCAGTAATATCAGGGCGTTTCAGCTTTAATACGTAACATTTAATGAATTAGAGCCTAAAGTAACGAATATCAAACATTTACCCCTCAGGTATGTGTACGGTGAGCATGGGTACTGACAACTGAAACTGAGGCAAATCTGGGATTGAACCAGTGCTGATTTGTGCTGATATCCAACCTGACCAAGGTGTATCCCAATCCCTGCTGATGACCCCTACCTGACCCCAGGTGTATCCCGATCCCAGCTGACGAGCCTACCTGTCCCAGGAGTGTATCCCGATCCCTGCTGACGACCCCTACCTGACCAGGTGTATCCCAATCCCTGCTGATGACCCCTACCTGACCAAGGTGTATCCCAATCCCTGCTGACGACCCCTACCTGACCCCAGGTGTATCCCCATGCTGATCCATGCTGACCCAGGGTCCTACCTGTCCCAGGAATGTATCCCGATCCCTGCTGATGACCCCTACCTGACCAAGGTGTATCTGATCCCTGCTGACTATCCCTACCTGACCCAGGTGTATCCCGATCCCTGCTGATGACCCCTACCTGACCATGGTGTATCTGATCCCTGCTGACTATCCCTACCTGACCCAGGTGTATTCAATCCCTGCTGACGACCCCTACCTGACCAAGGTATATCCCAATCCCTGCTGACAACCCCTACCTGACCCAGGTGTATTCAATCCCTGCTGACGACCCCTACCTGACCAGGTGTATCCAATCCCTGCTGATGACCCCTACCTGACCAAGGTGTATCCCAATTCCTGCTGACGACCCCTACCTGACCCCAGGTGTATCCGATCCTGCTGACTATCCCTACTGACCCAGGAGTGTATCCTATCCTGGCGACCCTACCTGGGGAGACCCTACCTGACCAAGGTGTATCCCAATCCTGCTGGCTGACCCTACCTGACCAAGGTGTATCCGATCCCTGCTGACTATCCCTACCTGACCCAGGTGTATCCCGATCCCTGCTGACGACCCCTACCTAACCCCAGGTGTATCCCGATCCCTGCTGACAAGCCTACCTGACCCCAGGTGTATCCCGATCCCTGCTGACGACCCCTACCTGACCAAGATGTATCCGATCCCTGCTGACTATCCCTACCTGACCCAGGTGTATCCCGATCCCTGCTGACGACCCCTACCTGACCCAGGTGTATCTGACCCTGCTGATGACCCCTACCTGACAGAGTGCTGATCTGCTCCCCAGTCTCAGCATCATACAAGATAGCCAGTCTATCCCACGATGCACTGATGACCTGAGCTCCTCCCACCATCCAGTCCACTGACCCTCCAGTCGGCAGCAATAACAACATCAGTGTGCCCTGTCAGCTCCACCTGCGGTGTGCGGAGTTTGTTGCTCTCCTGCACCTGATCACCGCCATCTACAGGCAGACAGGACATAAAATCATTATTACACAGGAATCAAGCCATCGGCCAGTGGATTCCTGGCAAATCGTTTATTAAGGTGATTAGACAGTGTGTAGTAAAGCAATAGAGCAGGACCAGTAAATTACCTACCATCACCAACATCTTCCTTCTCCGACCCGTCAATCTCATCTTCTCCTGAGGAGTGGGATTTCTGTAACACAGTAACAATGTAGAGAAATAAAGTATGTGACAGAGGCAATACTACAAGCTACTGATTCTTCAGTGTTTATTTGTTTGTTGTTTAACACCACACTCAACTATATTCCAACTATATGGCGGTGGTCTGTAATAATTGAGTCTGGACCACACAATCCAGTGATCAACAGCGTGGGCATCGATCCACGCAACTGGTATACGAAGACATGTGTCAACCAAGTCAGCGAGCCTGACTACCCAATCCCGTTAGTCGCCTCTTATGACAAGCATGGGTTGCTGAAGACCAATTCTAACCTGGATCAGTTGGGTGAGGTCAAGTGGAGTTTAATATTATGTTCAAATTATGAAAATGTCTTCAACAGGAAGTAATGTGTCCACTATCCCAGATGTTAAAGTGCTGTGGTAAAGTCATCAAAACTTCAGCCATGAGATGGGACAGGCAGTCAGCCATGTCACAGGTGGTGTTGAGAGGGAAACTAGATGTCTACACACCACTATTTCAGCATGAGGGGGAAACTACATGTCTACACACCACTATTTCAGCATGAGAGGGAAACTACATGTCAGCACACCAAACTACATGGCTTCACCACTCAATGCCAGGGGGAAACCACATGTCCACACATCACCACTATTTCAGCATGAGAGGGAAACTACATGTCTACACACCACTATTTCAGCATGAGAGGGAAACTACATGTCTACACACCACTATTTCAGCATGAGAGGGAAACTACATGTCTACACACCACTATTTCAGCATGAGGGGGAAACTACATGTCTACACACCACTATTTCAGCATGAGAGGGAAACTACATGTCTACACACCACTATTTCAGCATGAGAGGGAAACTACATGTCTACACACCACTATTTCAGCATGAGAGGGAAACTACATGTCTACACACCACTATTTCAGCATGAGAGGGAAACTACATGTCTACACACCACTATTTCAGCATGAGAGGGAAACTACATGTCTACACACCACTATTTCAGCATGAGAGGGAAACTACATGTCTACACACCACTATTTCAGCATGAGAGGGAAACTACATGTCTACACACACCACTATTTCAGCATGAGAGGGAAACTACATGTCTACACACCACTATTTCAGCATGAGAGGGAAACTACATGTCTACACACCACTATTTCAGCATGAGGGGGAAACTACATGTCTACACACCACTATTTCAGCATGAGAAGGAAACTACATGTCTACACACCACTATTTCAGCATGAGGGGGAAACTACATGTCTACACACCACTATTTCAGCATGAGAGGGAAACTACATGTCTACACACCACTATTTCAGCATGAGAAGGAAACTACATGTCTACACACCACTATTTCAGCATGAGAGGGAAACTACATGTCTACACACACCACTATTTCAGCATGAGAAGGAAACTACATGTCTACACACCACTATTTCAGCATGAGAGGGAAACTACATGTCTACACACCACTATTTCAGCATGAGAAGGAAACTACATGGAAACTACATGTCTACACACCACTATTTCAGCATGAGAGGGAAACTACACGTCTACACACCACTATTTCAGCATGGGTGGGAGGTGTGACCACAGCTCTCCAGATGTGCGCGGTCTCGTCCCCCGACGCGGTCAACACGAGGTCCTGACTGGGATGGAAGCGGATGGAGTTGACCGACCCCTGGTGACCGGCATACTGGAGCAAGCACTGACCAGTCTCCACAGAGAATATGCGGGCTCGGTGGTCTGGAAACGACAGCATATGTACATATGATAAACACATGAAACAAGTCAACTCAAAACCTGGACTTTGTCAAAATAACACACCTGCACTTGCTATCATATATCACACATGCACCTGTTCTGCCTATAATACACCTGCACTTGCTGTCCAAATAACACACCTGCACTTGCTATCATATATCACAAATGCACCTGTTATGCCAATAACACACCTGTACCTGCTGTCAAAATAAAACACCTGCACTTGCTATCATATATCACACATGCATTTACACACCTGCACTTGCTGTCTCTATAACACACCAGCACTTGCTATCATATATCACACCTGCACCTGTCACGCCTATAACACACCTGCACTTGCCGTCCCTATGACCTGATGGCCAGACTTGGACACGCTGACCTCCCACACTCCGTCCCGATGACCCCTGTAGACACGCACCAGGTTGTAGGCTGCTGAAGGTGCTCGGAAGCTGGAGACAATCTTACTAGTGGATGCCTTGTACGTCGTCTTGATCTTCTGAGAAATCTGACTTGCAGCTGTAGTAGATATTTACATGTTTATATGGGGTACATATTTATATGAGGTACATGTTTATATGGGGTACATGTTTATATGGGGTACATGTTTATATGGGGTACATGTTTATATGGGGCACATGTTTATATGGGGTACATGTTTATATGGGGTACATGTTTATATGGGGCACATGTTTATATGGGGCACATGTTTATATGGGGTACATGTTTATATGGGGTATGGGGTACATGTTTATATGGGGTACATGTTTATATGGGGTACATGTTTATGGATGTGTAAAGTTGAGATTCATGCTACTAAGAGTAACCATGACCCAGCCTTGCTTTAACCATTAGCCTGCCTGGCTTTAACCATGAGCCAGCCTTGCTTTAACCATGAGCCAGCCTTGCTTTAACCATGAGCCTGCCTGGCTTTAACCATGAGCCAGCCTTGCTTTAAAGAACCACTAAACTTTGTTTTTTGTTACTCTTTTAACCATTACATATGAAAGATTTGTAGTTAGTCTTATGCGGAACACCAAATTTATTCTTTAAAAACTTGTGGTTAATTAATACCGAGCTATTAAAAGTGGCCAAAAAGTCGCCTGCTTCCCTCTTGCCCGCCAACGAAACCACAGACAGGTTACGTAACTCTGTCGCCAGAGCACTGCAGTGACGTCATATGAGGAACGATTTTCAGTTAGTTGTATAGAAAATGTGTAGCACGCTTCATCATTTTGATGATTTCGACATCAATGGCGACATGCCGAATCGCTGCTGTCGCCAATTGCTACTAGGGTCGGGCGATGGTGTCCCCATGCACAGATTTCCACACGACCTCGCAGTTCGTAAGCTAAATGGGTTATGTTTGTGAGTCTTGAAGCGGCCGTTGTGGAAGCCTGAAGCGATATCTTACTTGTGTTCAGATCGCTTCACGGAAGTTAAAGAATCAAAACTACTTACTAGTTGTAGTAAAATATGCATATGATTGATGACCATAAAGAATTTCTATGACACAACTTGTAACATAACGATTTCTTCCTCGGAAGTGAGGTTGTGGTCAAGTAACAATAATATTGTAAGTAGTATTATATTGACACCCACCTGGCTCGCGGCGAAAGAAATTGTTATGATATGCAGCTATGTCATGCAAAATCCTATTGGCCATCAATAAAATACATATTTACTACCAGTAGAAAGTAGTTTTGATTTTTAGAACTTCGGTGAAAACAAACCTAAATACCATTTATCCTCAGACTGGCGGATGTTCCCGAAGGGCGCCGCCATTTTAAAATAAAAAATCTGTTAGAATTAATGAGATTATAGTTTGTTTTCATCAAGTTAGAAAATCAAGACTACTTTCTACTGATTGTTAAATATGTATTGGAATCATAACCAAACGGATTTTGCATGACACAACTTATAACATAACGATTTCTTCCACGGAAGCGAGTGGGGGTGAAATCACAATACCGCGCCGATAAATTTCTTTGCTACATTCTTATGGTTAATGTCCACTCACCAGTATGTAGATACTAGTCAATGTGCGCTCTTTATATTTGGTCTTATAATCCTAATTAGTTTATTATCACACTTGTATGCATTTTGAAACTAAATAAAAAAGCAGACGATCTGCTGATACTTATAGTGAATTTATAACAGAACTGTAATATCTAGACATTTTATAGTTTAAGCCAATGTGAATCATAATTCACACACACCCTAGTGCATGTTGTCTGTCTCATTACACTTCACGGCGAAAACAATGATTCTGTTGAATGCTACGACAAAATGAATAAAACAAAATGCAAATATTAAAATTAAAACAGATTAAAGTTATAGGAACAATATCAGGCCATTACCTTGTTTGAGGAATGTATCAATCAATATCCACAAAACTGTTCCAAATGATGTGTCTTTTAACAGTTTAATATACCCAAAAAAGTGATAAATCTTTTCAGGTATTGGTGTATAGTCTCATTGGTCACCCAAGATAGCACACCTGGCAACTAATTGCATAATGTCCGCCTTTCTTTAAAACAGTAATTTAGTTAGCCAATAATGGGCAATCAATCAATGTATTGCCAGTTAATCCCTTTGAAAGAAGGATCGTTGTTTTTATGCAGACACCTACCGACCGACAGAGTGTATTCAGTATAGATTAGTAAATCTACATACATAAACACTACCTTTTGACAATTCCGCTGTGTAAGATAAAAGTAATTAATCAATCAGCCGTGTTATCGGTTAGTCCTTTGATCGATGTTTATAATGTTGAATATTACTCAGACACAAGAAATGCCAATGGGAACCTTTGTCGAGTAATCTAAGTGTGTTACCACTAATTATACCAGTGATCAACAGCAGCGGGCATCGATCCACGCAACTGGTATATCACGATGACATGTATCGAAAGCCAAGTCAGCTTAGCCTGACTCACCCAATCCGTTAATTGCCTCTTATGACAAGCATGGGGTTGCTGAAGACCAATTCTAACCTGGATTCAGTTGCGGTTGAGGCCAGCTAGGAGTTTAATATTATGTCTAAATTATAAAAAACAAGTTCTCTCAACAGGAAGTAATGTTGTCCACTATCCCAGATGTTAAAGTGCTGTGGTAAAGTCATCGAAACTTCAGTCATGAGGATGGGGACAGGCAGTCAGCCAATAATATCACCAGGTGGTGTTGAGAGGGAAACTACATGTCTACACACCACTATTTCAGCATGTGAGGGAAACTACATGTCTACACACCACTATTTCAGAAGCATGAGAGGGAAACTACATGTTCATACACACCACTATTTCAGCATGAGGCTTCAAAATGCATGCCACTATTTCAGCATGATGGGGAGCTACATGTCTACACACCACTATTTCAGCATGAGAGGGAAACTACATGTCTACACACCACTATTTCAGCATGGGAGGGCTACGTAATCTACACACACCACTATTTCAGCATGAAGGTGGTAATCAGCACACCACCCTTATATTCAGCATGAGAGGGAAACTACATGTCACCACTACTATTTCAGCATGAGGGGGAACCTACATGTCTACACACCACTATTTCAGCATGAGGAGGAAAACTACATGTCTACACACCACTATTTCAGCATGAGAGGGAAACTACATGTCTACGCACCACTATTTCAGCATGAGAGGGAAACTACATGTCTACACCGCACTATTTCAGCATGAGAGGGAAACTACATGTCTACACACCACTATTTCAGCATGAGAGGGAAACTACATGTCTACACACCACTATTTCAGCATGAGAGAGAACTACATGCTCTACACACCACTATTTCAGCATGAGAGAGAAACTACATGTTCACACACCACTATTTCAGCATGAGAGGGAAACCACATACGTCTACACACCACTATTTCAGCGCCAGAGGAAACTACATGTCTACACACCACTATTTCAGCATGAGAGGGAAACTGTATGGCTACACCACTATTTCAGCATGAGAGGGAAAACTACATGCCCACACCACTATTTCAGCATGAGAGGGAAACTACATGCCTACACACGCCCCACTATTTCAGCATGAGAGGGAAACTACATGTCTACACCCACTATTTCTGGATGTGTGCGAGTCGCTCTCCCAGATGCGGGAAACTCAACCCGCGTCTGGCTACTACCAATTTCAGCAGGTCCTGACTGGGATGGAAGCGGATGGAGTTGACCGACCCTGGTGACCGACATGCTGGAGCAAGCACTGACCAGTCTCCCACAGAGAATATCGCGGGCTCGGTGGTCTGGAAAGCGACAGCATATGTACATATGATAAACACATGAAACAAGTCAACTCAAAGAACCTGGACTTTGTCAAAATAACACACCTGCACTTGCTATCATATATCACACATGCACCTGTTCTGCCTTTAACACACCTGCACTTGCTGTCCAAATAACACACCTGCACTTGCTATCATATATCACACATGCACCTGTTAAGCCATTAACACACCTGCACTTGCTGTCTCTATAACACACCTGCACTTGCTATCATATATCACACATGCACCTGTCACACCTATAACCCACCTGCACTTGCCGTCCCTATGACCTGATGGCCAGACTTGGACACGCTGACCTCCCACACTCCGTCCCGATGACCCCTGTAGACACGCACCAGGTTGTAGGCTGCTGAAGGTGCTCGGAAGCTGGAGACAATCTTACTAGTGGATGCCTTGTACGTCGTCTTGATCTTCTGAGAAATCTGACTTGCAGCTGTAGTAGATATTTACATGTTAATATGGGGTACATGTTTATGGATGTGTGAAGTTGAGATTCGTGCTACTAAGAGTAACCATTAGCCTGCCTTGCTTTAACCATGAGCCAGCCTCTTTTAACCATTAGCCTGCCTGGCTTTAACCATTAGCCTACCTTTATTAACCATTAGCCTGCCTGGCTTTTAACCATTAGCCTGCCTGGATTTAACCATTAGCCAGCCTCTTTTAACCATTAGCCTGCCTGAAGCTTTAACCATTAGCCAGCCTCTTTTAACCATTAACCTGCCTGGCTTTTTAAACCATTAGCCTGCCTGGCTTTAACCATTAGCCAGCCTCTTTAACCATTAGCCTGCCTGGCTTTTTAACCATTAGCCTGCCTGGCTTTAACCATTAGCCTGCCTGGCTTTAACCATGAGCCAGCCTTTCTTTAACCATTAGCCTGCCTGGCTTTAACCATTAGCCTGCCTGGCTTTAACCATTAGCCAGCCTTTCTTTAACCATTAGCCTGCCTGGCTTTAACCATTAGCCTGCCTGGCTTTAACCATGAGCCAGCCTGTCTTTAACCATTAGCCTGCCTGGCTTTAACCATGAGCCAGCCTTGCTTTAACCATTAGCCTGCCTGGCTTTAACCATGAGCCAGCCTTGCTTTAACCATTAGCCTGCCTGGCTTTAACCATGAGCCAGCCTTTCTTTAACCATTAGCCTGCCTGGCTTTAACCATTAGCCTGCCTGGCTTTAACCATGAGCCTGCCTCTCTTTAACCATTAGCCTGCCTCTTTTTAACCATTAGCCTGCCTGGCTTTTAACCATGAGCCAGCCTCTCTTAAACATTAGCCTGCCTGGCTTTAACCATTAGCCTGCCTGGCTTTAACCATTAGCCTGCCTTGGCTTTTAACCATTAGCCTGCCTTGCTTTAACCATTAGCCTGCCTGGCTTTAACCATGAGCCAGCCTCTCTTTAACCATTAGCCTGCCTGGCTTTAACCATGAGCCAGCCTTTCTTTAACCATTAGCCTGCCTGGCTTTAACCATGAGCCAGCCTCTTTTAACCATTAGCCTGCCTGGCTTTAACCACGAGCCAGCCTCGCTTTAACCATTAGCCTGCCTGGCTTTAACCATGAGCCAGCCTTGCTTTAACCATTAGCCTGCCTGGCTTTAACCATGAGCCAGCCTTGCTTTAACCATTAGCCTGCCTGGCTTTAACCATGAGCCAGCCTTGCTTTAACCATTAGCCTGCCTGGCTTTAACCATGAGCCAGCCTTTCTTTAACCATTAGCCTGCCTGGCTTTAACCATGAGCCAGCCTTGCTTTAACCATTAGCCTGCCTGGCTTTAACCATGAGCCAGCCTCTTTTAACCATTAGCCTGCCTGACTCTAACCATGAGCCAGCCTCTTTTAACCATCAGCCTCTTTTAACCCATTAGCCTGCCTGGCTTTAACCATGAGCCAGCCTCTTTTTAACCATTAGCCTGTCTGGCTTTAACCATGAGCCAGCCTTTCTTTAACCATTAGCCTGCCTGGCTTTAACCATGAGCCAGCCTTTCTTTAACCATTAGCCTGCCTGGCTTTAACCATGAGCCAGCCTTGCTTTAACCATTAGCCTGCCTGGCTTTAACCATGAGCCAGCCTTGCTTTAACCATTAGCCTGCCTGACTCTAACCATGAGCCAGCCTCTTTTTTAACCATCAGCCTCTTTTAACCATTAGCCTGCCTGGCTTTAACCATGAGCCAGCCTTGCTTTAACCATTAGCCTGCCTGGCTTTAACCATGAGCCAGCCTTTCTTTAACCATTAGCCTGCCTGGCTTTAACCATGAGCCAGCCTTGCTTTAACCATTAGCCTGCCTGGCTTTAACCATGAGCCAGCCTCTTGTAACCATTAGCCTGCCTGGCTTTAACCATGAGCCAGCCTCTTTTAACCATTAGCCTGCCTGGCTTTAACCATGAGCCAGCCTCTTTTAACCATTAGCCTGCATGGCTTTTAACCATGAGCCAGCCTCTTTTAAACATTAGCCTGCCTGGCTTTAACCATGAGCCAGCCTTTCTTTAACCATTAGCCTGCCTGGCTTTAACCATGAGCCAGCCTTGCTTTAACCATTAGCCTGCCTGGCTTTAACCATGAGCCAGCCTTGCTTTAACCATTAGCCTGCCTGGCTTTAACCATGAGCCAGCCTTTCTTTAACCATTAGCCTGCCTGGCTTTAACCATGAGCCAGCCTCTTTTAACCATTAGCCTGCCTGGCTTTAACCATGAGCCAGCCTTTCTTTAACCATTAGCCTGCCTTGCTTTAACCATTAGCCTGCCTGGCTTTAACCATGAGCCAGCCTCTTTTAACCATTAGCCTGCCTGGCTTTAACCATGAGCCAGCCTCTTTTAACCATTAGCCTGCCTGGCTTTAACCATGAGCCAGCCTCTTTTAACCATTAGCCTGCCTGGCTTTAACCATGAGCCAGCCTCTTTTAACCATTAGCCTGCCTGGCTTTAACCATGAGCCAGCCTCTTTTAACCATTAGCCTGCCTGGCTTTAACCATGAGCCAGCCTCTTTTAACCATTAGCCTGCCTGGCTTTAACCATGAGCCAGCCTCTTTTAACCATTAGCCTGCCTGGCTTTAACCATGAGCCAGCCTCTTTTAACCATTAGCCTGCCTGGCTTTAACCATGAGCCAGCCTCTTTTAACCATTAGCCTGCCTGGCTTTAACCATGAGCCAGCCTCTTTTAACCATTAGCCTGCCTGGCTTTAACCATGAGCCAGCCTCTTTTAACCATTAGCCTGCCTTGCTCTAACCATTAGCCTGCCCTTGCTCAACCAACAGTCCACCTCATTTTAACCATTAGCCAATCATTAACCAACCATTTGCCCATGTGATTTGTCCACTTACATCTCTTTGGTTTGGTGCTTCCATCAGTTTCTTGTACCTCTGCTGCTGGCTTATCAGAGCTGGCGTAAGCTTCAAGTCTCTCATTCAGTGATTCCACTCTCTCTTGTACTGTCAAACCAATCATGGCAGAAGATCAGCAACAATTAACCAAACGTCAAGGGCATCATGATGCTCACCATGAGACCAGTGTCAGGTACATCACAGTTTTGTGCAAGCCACTGACCATTGACCTATTCTGCTTAAAACTGGCAAAGAGGTATTTCACTGCCTAACTGAATCCCAAACTCTACAGTCATACAAATGTTTGTTTGCATTGAACACTCATTACTAGGGGTGGGCGATAATACCGGTTAACCGGTATATTGCAATTCGAACTTCACAGTACGATATATTGCGGTACACTTTTCGCTAACCGGTTCACCTGATACGATCGGTAATTTTCGTGATGTAGTCAAAACTAGTAATAACATTTGTATTTCCTTTATATTATTATACAGTGGACTCTGTCAATACCGGCCTCTGTAAACACCGGCACTCTGTCTACATCGACACAAAGTTTCAGTCCCGGCAGAAATGCACGTTATTATCATTTAGAAACTTCTGTAAACATCGGCATCTGTCTATTCAGGATATCGGCATTGTTTTTCAGTCCCAGCGAACAAGTTGTTAAGAAAGCGAATCTGTAAAACCGGCACATGAAGACGGGCGTAACCCTTTGATGCAATTAGGTCCAAATGATGTAACAACACAATTCGTTGTGACTCGAGATTATTCAGAAGCGGGAAGTGTTAATCAGTATCTTGTTAATCAGTGAGTGGTAAGTAACACTTACCCTGAGTAATTAATACATGTAGTGGGCAGTTTGTGGTATAAACAAGCAAGTGTTTACATTTTGTTGATTCGCGAATTATTGACTCGAGATTATTCAGAAGCGGGAAGTGTCAATCAGTTTCTTGTTAATTAGTGAGTGGCACGTGTCACTTACATAGAGGCGAATCGTTTGATGGCGGTTATTGTTCGAAAGCTCTGAACATCAACAATATCACTGTACTCTTGCGAGTATTTTCACATTTGTAAGAAGCCGATTTTATTGGATAAAGATTGGTTTCTAACGACGCTTTTCACTACACTCTGCTTATAAAGGGTCGTGATTGGTCAAAATCAGACCGTGGACCTAAGCAGCCAATCATATTATGGAAATGAATAGCCGTCCTAAATTAAGCGAAAACTTTTAGATTAAGGCGAAAAGGTTTTGGGTAAAATAATGCTATTCTGAACATATTAAGAAAGACATCGCTACCTTTACGTAAATTATGGAACGTATTGGACATATCGTGCTAGGTTATGGCCTATGACAAAATGCTTCATGCATATATTTTCACATTAAGCATCGTGTCCGAGGAATCAAGGCGGAGGCGGTGAAAGCCGAGATGTAACTTGTCAGTGACTTGACTTACATTGCATGATCGCACAAAAGTATGGAAGTAGTAATTTTATATGTACGTTTGACAACTTTTATGAATGTTATTGTTGATTTCAATTTATTTAATGATTTCCTCGATGTTTGAAACATCATTGCTTTGCTCTTTGACAATGCTATTGTAGACCAGCTGCGAAGCATAAACAAGAATCGTTGTTTTCAATAACATTGCGAAAAATAGTTTATAATTTTAATTCTGCCGATAATATATGATCAGTTGAAATTTAATAAGAGATTTCAGACATTTTTATTTGATTTAAACAACATGAATGTGCATTCCGAACATTAATAGTTTTGAGAAAGTTTATTTGGTCATACAATATGACATTTGTACATTAATAGACTTTATTGAACCATATAAATATAAACAAAAAATAGATTGGTACCGGCACTTTCGTTGTAAGGATAAATAAACAAAAATGGCGGATCTCTTGTACAATTACATCTGAGTCCTGCCAGTGGCATTGTTTCAAAAGAAAGGAAACAGTAATTTAATTACCTTAACCCATGTGTTACACTTTCACAATATATTGCAATACATATTGCAATACGCCAACACATCTCACAATATATGGCAATACGAACATTTTGGCAATACCCAACCCTAGTCATTACCAATCAACCACAAGTGAAAAGAAGTAACCATTTTGTTTGCTTGTTGTTAGCACTGCGCTCAGTAATATTCCAGCTATATGGCAGTGGTCTGTAAATATTTTGGAAGTCAATCCAGTGATCAACAGCATGAGCATTGATCTATCTGGGATACAAAGACATGTGTCAACAAAATCAACTGGTCTGACCACCCAATCCTGTTAGTCACCTTTTACAACAGTCATGGGTTGCTGAAGATAAATTCTAACCCAGATCTTGAGTGGTAGGGAGTAATCATTACATGGCATAAGTCAAAAAGGTCCATTCATCAAATGATGGACCCAGGTTCTAGAGTCGAGCATCTTTTTGAGGCATGTCTTCTGTCCTGTGTTCAGATATAACGCCGGTGGGGTAGCCTAGTTGTTAAAGCGTTCGCTCATCATGCCAAAGACCTGGGTTTGATTCCCCACATGGGTATAAAGTGTGAAGGCCATTTCTGGTGTCCCCCAATGTGATATTGCTGGAATATTGCTAAAGGTGGTGTAAAACCATACTCACTCACTCACTCATAGTGGGAAATGTGACACAAACATGAGTTTGACAGTTTATTCCAATTTTATTACTTACATGCAATATTGGCAGCATAGAGATTTTCAAATTCCTTTTCAATCTGCCCAAACAGATCATACAGTCTGTCCCTGAAAATTAAGAACATTCATTAATTTTATGGCAGCTGCTTTATCATTCAGAGATGAATATTGTGTAAACATTCAACAAGAATCAGTTACAACAAGCACCGTTCCCAGCCTCCCTCTTTCATCCACACACCTTGATATGCCTGAGGTAAAAAGTTTGAATCTGATGCAAAAAGAAGAATTGTAGAAACTATGTTGGTAGTGCAGTTTTCATGATTTTAAGTGCAGTTAGGGCGTAAAAAATACCAACAAAAAATATTTTTATTAACTGAAACTAATTTTAAAAGTTTTAGAAACTGTACAACGAACCTTGCGTGCACAATAAACATTCCTTATTCTATGAAGGAACACTGCTGTATTTGAGCCCGTGCAGCTCATCACAACAGCGACAATGTAATGTAATCACCCACATGACTACAGAGGCCCAGATTAACTCACAGTCATATTGCCCAAGGCAGGAATAAATCAATTGTAATAAGTCCACTAATAACAATTCCTTACTTTATCACTTTCTCAAGCTTGATTAAGATCCTTCTGAGTGACAGACTAGTTTCTTTTGTTGTCATAGCGACCAGTACCATGCAGCATGGCCACTTATTTTATAGCTAACACTCAGGGAGTAGTTTTCACTTCCATGCTTTTTTGTCAGATACTGTGCTGCAACAATATGAAATGTCAGCAATAGAAGTGTAACAATACATGCGATGTGCCATTGAGATTGACATCCAATGATCGAGGGAAAACATACCAGCACCTTGAGCATGCACTAGTGCGTGGATATGTGCGCTATATAAATATCCTATAATAAAAATAAAATAACAAGAGTATGGGGTATCCCAATACTATTGGTGTGACAAGATTTATATCCCCATACTGTACTTTTCTCTTTGGGAGATAATCTGTTTGCAGGTGCTCACTCATTAAATTTCTTTTCAAGCCTTGTAGATCGAAGATACAATATTGTCAGGCAGAAACATATAGCAGGGGCAAATACAGGCTTTTAAAAAAAATATATTAAAAAATGTGTGTGCGTGCGTGCGTGCACGCACGCAGTCCATTTTCAACCGGTTTCACGTAAATTTTAATGGTCATATAATAAACTTTCAGTTATGCTGTTCATAGTCACACAGGAATTACTAGAGAATCTGCATAAGCTGGTTATTGTTCAAGCAATTTTACGCAAAAAGAACATGTAGTATATAACCTGCATGACATATCAGGTGACAACACTGCATCGATGCACCAGTCAGTAAGGACATTCCACACAGTGGTGTGAGAGTTTGTTGTTTTGTCTGTTGATGGTGCATCCAGCCATAGCTCTGCCATATGTCAACCAGTCAATAATTGCCCCAAGCCTGGACCAGATAAACCAGTGATGGATATTATAAGCAGTTCCCCACACCATCAGGGAACAGGGCAGCAATCAACAAAGTCTCACTCAGTCTGACCACTAGTGGTGTAATGGTACCGCAATATCGTACTGCCATACTTGACTCATGAAACAATACACTAATTCACAACTCCTGTGTCGCAATGTATATGATGCATTACAAGTTTTGTTGGTTTAAAAACATGTACAATACCAGAAAGTGTTCAAGAACAAGTTAAGCCGATTTTCTTGTATTTAATGGCTGGCTGTGAACAGAAGGGTGGTTTACACACTGCTCAAATGTTTCTCCGTTCAATTCCCATCTTTGGAATTTGAATATAAATTATTCTGGGTTGTGATTCACCTGCAAATAATTAGAAGATATGAACATATGAAACAATAGCACTGTATTAGGATACAAATCGTATCACGCCCATATTAGTCTGATAAACATCATGTCGTGGCTCCGTTACCATCCAGTCCTTTAGTAACCTCTGAACAAGCATTATCAGCAGGGAACCTATTCAGTGACTCCTATTTGAAGTCAAGGTTTTGAAAAATATTTTAATAAGGTTCTTGATTCTCAATTTGAAAATGATCAAAATTGTGACTGTGGAAAATCCCTTCCATTTTAAATGTTTATCCCATCGAAAGGAGATCGAGTTGATGACTTTGAGGTTGATGTCAGTGTACAGCCCTAAACTTTACTCTGTATTAACCTTTTTGAGGTTGGATGATCAGAAAACCCATTCCGACTGTTGTTTTTCCAATCTGGTAAGTGACACTCGCCAAATGAAATGTCATTCTACTGTGAACCATAAAGATCTAATTTCACTGAGACTTGTTCAAAGCATTGTTTCAGAAGCAATATTTGTGCACTGACATAACTTAAATGCCAGGGGTTCTAGTGTCTCTGCTAAAGAAAAATCACTTAAATTCTCTAGGTCAATCTTGTGTTCATAAAACTTTCAGAGCTCCAGTCTTTAAGACAATTTAATATCAGTGGTTGTACAAGCAGTGTCCCCAGTGTGTGAAACATCCAATATAATGACCACTTGAAATAAGACAAGCAACAGTTTCCCCAGAAATGATTAGAAAAACCCCAGATTTTATTAGAACACTGCCTTTATCACTCAGCAACATCATAATCATAGCTTGGACACGGCGAATCACTGGCCTTCAGCAGCAACTGTCATCCCTCTATGGAGTCTTCTCAGGACACTGACGCCATTGTCATTAACGACCTTAATCCTACAGGTTAATTAATCAGTGAGTGAGTGAGTTTAGTTTTACGCCGCACTCAGCAATATTCCAGCTATATGGTGGCGGTCTGTAAACAATCGAGTCTGGACCAAACAATTCAGTGATCAACAGCATGAGCATCGATCTGCACAATTGGGAACTGATGACATGTGTTAACCAAGTCAGCGAGCCTGACCACCCGATCCCGTTAGTCTCCCCTTACGACAAGCATAGTCGCCTTTTGTGGCAAGCATGGGTTGCTGAAGACCTATTCTAACCCGGATCTTCACGGGTCGGTTAATTAATCAGATTAAGCATTGTTGATGTATGGTGGTAGTCATGGGTTACTATTTTCTACTGGCCAGAGTTCAAGACATAATTCACCCATTATCCATACAAGTTCTTGTTATGTGCGAATTGATACATGATTACATATGCTATATAACTGGAAGAAGAATTCACGCTTCAGATTGGGATATGTGCAGATATCTTCCCACTTCCAGAAGAGTTAGATATCAAATCTCATAGTGTTTCCTGTGTGGATTCCACCAGAGGATACTGGACGATCACATCACCCGGTAATGTACAAGCTAGGATTACAAGACCTTGGCTACAACTGTAACCTGGCAACAAGAACCATATACAACCAGACACATCTGGAAGTCCACAAGGATATACAGGTCATTGAACTTACATGCTATATTCAAGTCAAGCTTATAAATAATGAACCGTATCATATGAATAGGAACAGTGAATAATGGGACTAATTATTAAGAAAACGATTTCCTATGCTGGTGCTAGCATGGTATCAGAATCTAAACTGAAGCATTGCCTTGCAGTAGAATACAAATAGTCATTTGTAAGAAATCTTGTTCTTGAATTGATTCATACTAATACTTTGGCTATGATTATATTTCATTACTGTGTTTTATTTATTATAACGTTCATTTGAAAAAATGTTTCTACTGTTGCCTAAATTCAAAGTTAAGACATTGAAACTACTGCCATAACTTGACCAAGGTACAGAAAACTAGATTCATAATGAACTCCAAAGGACCACTAATTTTAGTTTGTTTTAACCATAGATCATCATAAACTTTCGACTTAACTGTGGCCAAGACTAAAAATAATAGTCTATATCTGGCAGCTCGTCATAAGCATAAGTGAGTTTGGTTTTATGCCGCCTTTAGCAATATTCCAACAATATTACAGCAGGGGACACCCAAAATGGGCTTCACACATTAGAACCATGTGGGGAATCAAACATGGGTCTTCAGCATGAAGAGCGAACGCTTTAACCACTAGGCTACCCCACCGCCCCTCGTCATAAGCATGGTCGTCATAAATGTAGTGTACTGTATACACGAATGCTTGATAGTAATGTCCTTTATTCTGCTAATAATTTTAACAAACAATATAATGTAACGTTTCAATTATTTCATGAGTAGCTGTCATAACCAAATATAGTAATGTACTCTTGAAAATAGCATTACCAAATATGGAGATGCCCCCTGTAACCAGTCGCGATAATGCAGATGTTTATTAGATGAGAGAATGGCTAACAATGGCAGGATTATACGGTCAACGTCCTGCGAATAAACAATCATTGATATTGCTAAAGTCTGCCTTAATCAGCCACTTCCTCATTTGGATTCAGGAACAGTCAATCAGAAGCTATGCAATTTTATCCCGATGACCATGTTCAACAATACGTGATTCTTGTCATGTTCCTAAGTAATCAACGTTTCACATATCACTATTAAGAACATTATACATGTGAATATCCTCTGGCAAAACCTTTCTTCATTGTTTTTATGACATATTCACCTGTCAGATTTAATGACAGAGTTTCGAAAGAGGGCGAAAAATTATCATATTGATTCAGCATTACTATGATTACTAGTTTCAAATTTTACCAATAAACTATTTTTCACCAGAATCACTCTTTTCTTGAACCAGTGGCCTGTATCAAACTTGTAAACAACAGTTGATTGTATAATGCCTACAGTGCAAGAGAACAATATTTACAGTTTCATTTTTATTATAGAATGTTAGTTTAATAAGACAGGGAAGCTCAAAGGCATGCAAGTCCTAGAAGTTTACCACTATAATGAAAGGTGCTGATATACTGGTACTCAAACCCTTGATCCAAGGATTTATGCACAGCAAAGGGGTGCAAGTCTGAATGATTGCTGGATGAAGGATGCTCAAGCAAAAACAGTAACAATGTTCAATGACAAACCAGCAACCATGACCAGACCAGCAACCATGATCAAACCAGCAACCATGCAACCATCAGCAACCATGCCACCATCAGCAACCATGATCAAACCAGCAACCATGACAAAACCAGCAACCATGATCAAACTAGCAACCATGCCACCATCAGCAA